TGTTGCATCCAGTCGCTTATATTGAAAATAAAATGATTTAAGCAAGTATTTCTTGCATCAGAGATAATTCAAAGTTTGCTAATGTTAACAGCATTATAATACATGCAGAAACGTACATTTTTTTATAGATATTAAAAATTTAGGCTCTATGACTTGTATACTATGTCTATTACAGTCTATAGGATTTTGAATCGATGCATGCATTCAAATTCAAATTAGGTCCACCCACGGCCAGTGTAGCTGTCAGCTCACCTTCTTCAGAAGTGTGAAAGCTTTTGCTGGTGAAGGTGTGTTTTAGTACGATCGGTCCATAAAGAAGTGTTGATCGGTTCAAAATGACATAAGAACAGGTTCTTTTGAATAACCTATGGATTGGCACCATGGTCATCCTTGTGGCTGTCCTGTGGCTTTCAGTCCACCCAACGTGGACACCTTGAAAAGAAGAAGAAGAAGAAGAAGCGTCAGTCGATCAGTGAGCCTAGGATGCCTAGCTGCCTAAAGGCTAAAGATTTTATGTTATGACTAGTAAACATCACGGTCAAATAATTGAGATTTATCAATATTTTTCTCATTTCTAGAGTAGCTATGAGCTGTCGACCCAGTAATATTCCAATGCTCTACTTTCTAGTTTCTACTAGTAGCAATACTTTAGTCTTTACTCAGTTAACTCCCTCTTTACTCCTCTGTACTCTGCAGTTGAACAAAGTTTTATACCATAGGGGCAATAGCCCGATAGGCATGAGCCACATGACAATGATAACATTATGATTAATGATGAATTTGGGGGAGCTGATGGAAACATGGAATATTGGAAATTTGGAAGTGACTGATTAGTCTGCTCTGATCAGAATTTTCAGACAGAAGTGACAAACAACGAGGGGAACATGTTACCATATATGTTCAAATACACAATTTTTAATAGACAATTTTGATTTGCATAATAGAGAATTAAACCATAAAAATTACTAGATTGCTTAAGTCGCAAGTTTACCAGGAATTTAAAAGCAAAGAAAACAGCCAGAATATTAACCATTTCTTAAGAATGAAAACGTTTTGGAGTCCAGCTCTATCGTGGCATCGTCAGTTCAAAACCTATAAGAAAATCATAATCAATTAGAAATTTAGAAAACTAAATTCACATCAAAGATAAAAACATAAATTGACAAAATAAAAACAAATACACATAAGGAGACAGGCCTATCTATTTACAATTTCAAGGGGATAGGAGCTGAAGGCTGCATTTAAACCAGGTTTCTGTTTAAAAATGAACAAGGATTCTAAAATCCGTAGGTCAGTAACACCGGTCGTGTAAGCTAGAACTCTGAAATCACAATCAGACACCGGAACATTGCACTGCTCGGCATGGACGCGCACAGCTGAATGAGAGTAGTTTTCTAATTTTTATAGCCCTAATTTCAATTCTTACATTGTGTGATTGTAAAATTTGCCCGAATTGCCCCTTAATCCTTATGAGAGTGAGATGGGCTTATGCAAATGCCAGAAGAAAAAGGTCACTAATCAGTTTTGTTTTGAGCACAGAGTAAATGTTTGTGAACATTGCATTGTTGCTGATCATTCTCAAGTAAGTTTTTTGAAGTTTATCCTAAATATTTTGAAATAGTAAAGTTCATTTTTTTCTAATTGTTTTTTTTTCTGAGAAAATTTTTACTGTGCAATCTATTAACCCTTTCATGGACAAGTTAATAGTATGGCAGGCATGGAATATATCTACTTGGTGAGCCACAACTTGATTGTTTGAGCCTTGCTGCCTTGGTTTTTATTGATTTGCCAGTCATGATTCCATTTCTTTGAGTTGTGATTGCGTTCTAAGGCAATCTATTGCATTCTAAGGCGATCTATTGCATTCTATTTCAATTGCTATCTACTGCATTCTAAAGCAATCAATCATGTTCTAACGCAATTTATTGCATTATAACGCGCTGTAACGCAATTTATTGCGTTATAACGTGCTGTAACGCGATCTATTGCATACTAACGCAATGTAACAGGATTACACAATCTATTGCATTTTAATGTGATTTATTGCAATCTGTTACATTCTGATGCAACCTATTGTATTCTAACACCATCTGTTTCATTCTAACACAATTGTAATGTAATTGTAATGTAACCTAATGCAATCTAATGTAACCTACAATTTATTCAATCTAACGCAATCTAATGTAACTACAATGTAACCTAATGCAATGTAATGCATCTAATGTAACCTAATAAAATCTAATGTACCCTAATTCAATTTAATGCATTCTAGTGCATTGTAATGAAATCTAGTGTAATCAAATGAAAACTTTATGCATTCTAATACGTTCTAATTCACTCTATTCAATTTTACTGAATTAGGTTGGCTTGAATTGTGCTGGAATGATTTGATTTGGGTTGAATTGAATTAGGTTGAATTAAATTATGTTGGATTGAATTGGGTTGGGTTGAATTGAGCTGGGTATGGTTGAATTTGGTTGGGTTGAATTGAGTTGGCCTAAAGTTGGTTAGGATAAATTGGGTTGGGTTGAATTGGTTTTGGTTGGATTGGGTTGGGTTCAGTTAGGTTTGGTTGTGTTCAGTTAGGTTGGGTTGAATTCAGTCAGGATGAGTTGGGTGAGGTTGAATTTGGTTTGCTTGGTTTGGGTTGCCTTGGGTTGGGTTTGGTGACCTGGGTTTGGTGACCTGGGTTTGGTTTGGTACGTGCTATGGCATGTAGTTCAGGTGGCAAGACTAATTATATAGTCTGTTTATTGAAATGATAACGAGCTGCTTTGTTATCCATCGTCAGTGCCATGAGGCGCTCTCAACATAAGCACAGAAATATATGCACTCAGAACCATCAGAACTGCATGCTGTTGTGGTCTGGTCAACAGGGGTTCACAAAAACTATGTGAAGATTAGCTCAATCACCCTAAGGTACAATACCTAGCTAAGCCTACCTCCAACCCTGAGAACAAATTTGGGGCAATGAAACACAGGTCATTCCCAAACAACACTATACTTAAGCTAAGAACAAAGCCAAGGGCCATTGGTACAGGATAAACCCTAGGGCACCAAATATATTCACAGGATAAGCTAGGCAGCCACCCTCCAGAGGAAAATCCCAGAGAGGTGACTGTAGTATTCCGTTCAAGAGCCGAATTTTACAATATGGTCCAACTTTGTGGTAAACAATAATATTAAACAGAACATCCTAACCTGTGACACAAGGGAATCAAAATTACTGTAAAATAAGCAATCGCCTAGAAGTCTTGATTGGCATGGAGACAAATAAAAGTCCTGGAAAGGAGAGCACAATAAGAAATGGAAATGAGTCATCTACTAACACTATCTGCCAATAATTTAATCACTACAATCACATCACTTGTTGGTTGCACAACTGGTTAACTAAATCACTGGTGGTCTGAAAGACTAAGTGCCATTGTACTTAAAAGTTAACATTAGGCAGGTATTTGTATTTACTTGCAAATAGGAGTTTAAAACAAGTGTATCCAAATGAAATAGTTTAAGACTTGCTCATGAACAGGACTAATATGCAGCTAGCTCAGATAAGTAATGATAACAAAGCCTAGGTTGACATTTAAACAATGAGCTTCAGCAAGGTGATCTTCAAGGAGCTGCAGTTTGGAAGATGAGAAGATTCAGGACTGCGCAAGTCTGGGCTCCAGGTCTCCTCAACAGCGTGCCAGCTGGGTCCCACACTGACTGCTCCTATCAAGTTAACAAAATAACAGGACTAGAGTCTATGTTCTTTAAGGGCAGTTAAAGGGGATGTATTCCTCAAATCAGGAGTACTTTGGTTTGGATTAAAACAAGCAATAACGCATAAATCAGCAACAACACAGGACAAATGTCCAAGCAACATAGCAAGAAAAGAAAAGAAAGTACAGTATGGTAAGGCAAACACTTGATATGAGATCTAATAGCTGTAATGATTCAAATTCAATGTAACAGCAGCAAAGTGAATAAAGCAATTTAAAACAGGAACAAGGTAACATTAAACAGGTAACAAAGTAATACACAAGCTTTATTGCAGTAAATTAAGTGCATGAGATTAAAAAGGAAAGGTATACTATTATTCTCGAGTTGATCAAGTCTTAGCAACTCACCCTTAGGGAGCAGCTATGTTGCTCAGCAAGCAGGAATGGGTTGACAATGACTTACAGGGTTAAATGATTTTCAGGCAATGGGTGCAGGTGAGGCAAGCAATTAGGTGCAGACAAGGATCACTAAGCGTGATTAGTTGTGTGCTTACTAAACTGAAGCGAGACTCTTAATAGTGCATGCTACACTTCAAACATGATGATAAGGTGAAAGCGAATGAAGTTGCATGCTCTAAATAGTGAATTATTGATGGAGAACAACACCTGATACAAATACAAGGGAAGGAAACATTCATTAATAATAACAGTCACAAAAGCCCAAAATTAAATGGAAAGAGCAAACCATATTAGGAAGCATAACCTAAAGTAAGCAATACACCGAAGTGCCAGGAATGAAAAGAAGGAACCTAATAATCTAAGATTAAGCAAGAGGAGCAGTATGCTCCTCTTCAACGCTACATCAATTAGTTTAGGTAGCTCTGAGCGTGTGTGCTTGGGTGCTCAAATATACACTCTCACAGCCATCGGAACTGTGCGCTCCAGCGCGTAGTTCCTGTGGCTCTGAGCGCATATGCTTGGGTGATCAAATATACACTTTCAGCCATCAGAACTGAGTGTTACAGCGCATGGTTCTGGTGGCACTGAGTGCTACAATGCGTAGTTCTGGTGACTCTGAGCACGTATTCCTGGGTGCTCAAATATACTCTCTCAGTCGTCAGAACTGCGCACTACAGCGCGTAGTTTAGGTGGCCATGAGCGCGTATGCTTTGGTGCTCAAATGTAGCTCTCACAGCCATCGTAACTATGTGCTATGACACATAGTTCCAATCATAGTGTAGATCAACATGGCACATTGGCCATATTGATCGTAAATCACGATTTATGGAGAAGCATAATTGGTGACCGGCGTCCAGTGCCATCCACCTCGACATCTTTGGTGCATGAAATCAGCGTCGTTGACCTATGTTGTGCCACGCTTTACAGTCTGGAACACATGTTACCCTAAATCTCTAATTTACCCTAAAAACAGTCAAACTTCAACAGTAAAATTTGTCTTAACTTTAGTGGCAACTGAACGCATGATAATGCAGTCTGACAGCTCTGACATGACGGCAACTATGCGATCTTCAACCATACATTTTGGGTTGACTTATTATCATTACATTCTGTAGGATATTTTGGTGGAAGCGTTGGAGTACTGTGGATTGCGAAAGTTGACGATTTTATGAAAAGACATGTTTGCTATGTGCAAACTTTGATTTTTTCAATCAAACAAAAATACATGACATTAGAGCCATGAGATTTCCTACCTATAAATTATATGATAATAGAGCTGTGATATTTAAGAAAAAATTAAGACTTTGCCATAGGTCACATTAGGGTTGCAAAATTTCTGTAATTAATAGGAAAACTCCATACCAGAAAAGAAGTAGGCTCTGTTTATTTCTATAGCCTTGATATTTTTCAAGAACATCCAGAAACAGAAAAAGGCAACTTTTCAGTCAAATACCTAGTTGAGAATTATCAATATTTTTTAAAACAAAAAGCAAACTGTCAATAGCACTAATGTTGCTGCAGCACTTGTGTTACATACCAGCTTTCTTCAAATCTATATCTATTACTTAAAAAACAGAACTGAGCTATAACTAATTCAACCACTCTGTAGTTATCATGTGGTAATTGAAAGCAACAATACTCAAGAATGAATATTTCTTAGAAGTTACAATTGCTTCAAACTTCTTGTACTAGCCTTATTTTTCTTTTTCTCTGTTTGCAATCCTAGCAAAGGGTTGAATGTGGCATCAAATTAACAAGGGCAAATTAGGTGTCTGATTTTATTCAGAGCTTCTATGTATTCTTGATAATTTTTGAGAATATTTCAATTAATTTTCAAGATCATCAGATTCGATATTAAATTGATAACTTGTAACAGTTCTCCTGACTGATCAACCTCTTAGTAGCCCATAAGAGTCTCAATGTTTCTATTAATGGAACTCTAATTTCATGATTTGCATGGTTATATTACTGGAATCTGACAGAATGATATGCTAATCTTTGATGGTATTTTTCCAGTGCATTGTCCAGTCATATCTACAGTGGCTCAATGACAGCCAGTATGACCCTACCTGCCTTCTGTGCCGCACACCATTAGATGGACAGCCATGCATCAGACTAGTTTGTTATGGTATGTTTTTCAGGAATTTAATTATTTGAAATTGGATTATTCATGAATAATACTTTGATGGCCAAGGCAGGAAGAATAAAACTGTATTCAACAAAAAATTGTTGACTAAATTAATCTATGTTGCAGTTTTTACTGGTATTCTTGCAGTAACACCTATTTTTCATTATGGAATCTCTAAACTTGTTGAAGTTACAATTCATTTCCTAATATTGCTACAAGTTAACTGGACCAACATCACAGTAACATTTACCAGCTAGTTTTAATAATTATTTAATTTTCAAAACAATTCGACTGACTCATTAAACTGCTTAAACTTGAGTAAATTCTGTTACATGTTTTCATACCTGCAGTCATTTATGGCTTGAACATGTTATTTTTTAAGGATATTATTTCAGATGTATTCCACTCGTCATGTCTGGAGAGATGGGGCTCATCTCACCCGCCACACACAGCACCAGCAGGATTCCTGTGCCCACACTGCAGGGCGCCCGTGTTCCCCGCTCAGCAGTTGGCCTCGCCAGTGGCACTGGCACTTAAAGAAGCTCTGTCCTCTTGGCATTGGTCCAGGAAAGCCATGGGCACTTTAGACGTGAGCTTGAAGACGATTGTGTTATTATGTACCTACTTCAGTCTCAATGTGACAAGGCACTCATTTATCCTCTATTTTCTTATTTTGAAACATACAGCATATCTTTGTAGAAATGTATTTATGGTATAATTTTCAAATATGATTTGGATGCAGCCTGTTCTGAGCAGTCTAAAACAATTTATAATAATATAAAGTACCTAAGTATATTTGATCTAATGGGCTTAATGATAACTTCATTTCGCCTTTCAGAATGCAGAAAATATTTCGAATTTCTACTCTCTTCAACAAAAAGGTGAGTCCGGACAATTTTCACGATTCATTATTTTTATATTTGTCCTCAAATCTACCCTTGGCTCAAATTCAAACCATACCTTTCTATGGCAGGCCTTGCTTATGGCCATATTCAAACTTGCCTACCAAGCCCTTTTTGTAATTACTGTTCCTGAATTTTCCACTATAAATAAAAATACTTTTTCTTCATGTTTCAACAAGTTTATTCATTAACAAACAGTGAATGTACTCCCCTAATTTATATTAATTTCTTTATTTTACGGGATAAATCAAAGGCCTGTGTTTTTGTTGCAATATTTTTTGTGCAGAATATGCAAGTTAGCTTCTAAATTTGCATAAAAATATAACTTGTGAAAAGGGAGAGAAGGCATAGGTATATTTTCAAATGAGCTTCTTGGACAGATGGCGTTGTGACAGTGATGGAGAATTCCACTTCAGCCCATCGCACCCAAACAGAAGAATCTTTAACCACTTACACTGAAGTTGTTGCTCCCAAGAAATCCATGCAGAATACATTGGTTGCCGCCAACACCTCGACACCCGATCCTGATGACATGAAATATGGCAGGCGACCTGCTAAAGTCTGGTTCAGTAGATGGTGGAGGTGAATAATATCTTGAATAAAAATCATTATAGTCCAAGAATATTCATTCCTGATTAAACTCATTTTATATTGAAATCCAAATTTTTGTTTAAATCCTATTCTATGGATAGTCAAGGTCTCCTTAAAACAGGGGCTCGGATTTTAAAATATTTAAATCCTAAACCTTTTTAAACTTTAATTTTTGTACTTTACCTTTAAATATGGGAATAAGACTTTCCTCCTCAAGTTCTGGAAACTTCTTGCAATACATAGAATTAATCTACTCCTTGGTACTCTAAAGTTATCTTAGTCTATTTTTCTAATTTTGCTTGCGTATTTCCTTGCACATGAAAGTTAAAAACTAGTGGAGGAACTTTAGTACGTTGCTTATTCGACAACAAAGCCAATATGATTTGCGTTAACATGAAATTATTTCCTCAGGAATCATCAGCCAATAGGAGCCTGCACAGCACGCGTTAGCCTGAAGCGCCGTCTAGTGCTGCTCTGTCTCCTCGCCATGTGTTTGCTGCTCGTGTATCTCCTTGTCAAGAGGAAGAGTGCAGCGGACGACAACGTGTATCTCGACCCAATATTTGATCCAATGAATAACCCTAATATCCGCGTGCAACATGAGGCATGATGGCAGAAAATTGTGCTTATTTCTGTTTCTTTAATCCAGAATATATTTATCCGCCACGCTAGAAATAACTTTTTGACATAAAAAGCCTTGCCTCCCTTAACCTTCATTAATGGTTATTTAGTTACTGCGTCATACATGAAATCGTATTCGTTTGCAAATTTAAAATGAATTCATACATATCATTGCAGATTCTGAGAGATAACAACCTTCTATTTTATTCACTGAGCTAGATTCACCTGGCCATATTTGTCGGATGGAACATCAATGATAATGATTCTTGAGATAGATAATTAAAATGCAGTATTCTCTCATTATTTTACAACAAAATATTTCATACTCCATTCAAAACAAATATAACTCTTATTCCCTCTATTCGTGAGAATTAGTAGTTATTCCGAATCATTGTTAGTTTATACTATGGGTATCAACTTCTTGACCAATAATAACGGAAGAATTCTGATTGACTTAACTACCTGAATTATAACTTGGGTCAAGCTTTTATATGTGTAGCTTGTTAGTTGTATCTTTGCATTCCTTTTCTGTTATGTGCATGCGGGCGATTGAAACCTGTTAGACTTGCTGCGTGTATCTATCGTCGCTTCTGTTGTTCACTTGTTCGTTGTTAACCTCACTAGGATGCAAACGCTTACATATATTTTCACTCGCCAGCTAGAAGAAGCTGGTCGTTTGAAACACGTGGTGAACGATTATTTTATACAAGAGATATGTCGCGGTCGGGATCTACAACTTTATTGACTTGCTTTCAACTTCAATAACTAGCATTTACGCTCTAGTTCCCGCATATGACACTCCATCTAATTCGATTCATCATAATCATAGTCAATCATATTTTGAACATACATATTATGCAGCTCTACCAGTTAATTATTTTAAAGCTTGAGATTTGTTTCCAAAATAAAAACGACATGTATACCCATTGTAATTATTTTTATTTATTATTCGTACGATGTTGAAACGGCGAAACATCACCATTTACAAAATATGAATACTTGAAAGCTCTCTCCGCATTGGACGGAAAGCTTAATTAGATCACTGGCTGCGAAAATTTCAGATATGGCGGATGCCATTAGTAGAAAATACAGCGCGTTTTGTGGTATGGTATTTTGACCAATTTCTCTGCATTTGCTAACCTATATTCCCACAGTAAGTAGTCGACTTGGACGCTTGACACGGAGGATAACGCTCGAGCTTTAGACCAGCCTCGATCCTGCAGCTGCTGTCGGCAAGACTGTACCAGGCGCTCCACAGCCTCGATGCTGCACGCACGTATCTCCACCTGCAATACGGAATTTCAATGAATATTTATCTCGTTTGATCTTAACGAAAATATCTCAAATATTTACGGATATCCTGATCTATCTGACATTAATTCTGCTCATATGCTAAGAAAAACGGATAATGAAGCTGGTCTTACTTCTTCGTTGCTGCCATTGGCGAATACCAAGTTATCCTTGACATTTTCCAACAAGGACGCTGAATAGACAAGGACACCGAAGTACAGCAAGACTTGTGGAACTCTGTAATCAGCAAACATGGTGAGAGTATCCATGTTCTGTAGACGTGGCATGCCTTTCATGGCAAATACCAAGTCTAAGTCAGCCGTCAGAATTTGAGCACGCTTGTACAGTGACACTTTGGTGCCACAATAAACAGCTTCATCCTTGAAGCAGGGAAAGTTTTCAACGACCAGTTGCATCAGTTTTCTAGCATCGCCTGCAGCTTTCTCCAGCATTTCAGTGAAACTAGAGTTGAACTTATCAATCAACACCTGAGAAACTTCATGCAGAACCGACTGCCTTTCTGATAATAAAGGAATTTCAATTCCAGAATCTGATCTAAACATAGCCTTCAAATCTTCAGCTTGAAGTTGTCCGTAATAGTTAGGGTTGTACATTGCGTGTCCATTTGCCAGAGCTCGATTGATTGCTTGGATAAGGCCCAAGTATCCCGACCCTGTCTGTGTTCAAAATATGGCGATTAACATGTAAACTGACAGTTGATCCATTAAATGTAACTAGTATAGATTTATAAGAATGACAAAAATTTGACAGACAGTTCATTTTCAAGAGAATTCGTCAGACTAAACATTGATTGTAAATAATATGTAAAAAGATTTTAACCTTTAAAAGTAAGGGATGGCCTCCTGTAATTTTTGAACAGGTTTCATTGATAAGGAATAAGATTAGTCTTTAGTTTCATGATCACATTACAGAGAGTTGCATCTTTTAAATTCCCAAGATTGAGATAGATATCAAAATTGCTTAAAAGTTTGAGGGCATGTGTGTTGGGATCTTGCTTTAAAGATCAACTTCTTCTCATTCATTGGGTGACCTAAATTTTATCAAACAATGAAACATAATAAAGGTTCCAAGTTTGCATTTCAACTTTAACTTATGATTTTTTGATAATTAATACTTACAACTTTGTTCCATGTAACAGTGTACCTTGGTTCATTTGCACAAGTCCAGAAGTTGAAATTCAAGGCATCAACAATGAAGACACAATTGATGATTTGTGAGCTTGTGAGACCAGAAAATTCTGGAAAATAACACTTCTGTGGAAAATAACTTATATAAGGTTTGTATTTATTTTCACATTACTAAAATTATTTTTTATTTATGATAATACAACCATTCCTTGTAGCCAGTTGTAGGCTAGTCTAAACTCCTACGGTAACTGATTCATTGAGCCTTTGAGCCTTGAGGTAATGCAGTATGAACATCAAAGTTATTCATATTGATAGCATATTTATCATAGAAACTTATGAACTAGCAAAAATAAAAATAAATAAATTACTGATGCACAATTATGTCTGTCTGACATACTTAGTCGTATAAGTAAAAGGGTAATTGAAGGTTTAATTCTAACGTACCTCATTACCTACAGATTGCAATGCAGTTTGCTCCACGGTATCAGCAAGATATGATGCTAGAAGTTCAATTGCTGTATTATCAATAGAGACGTTACTAGCTTTAGAAGAAACAAATTTTCCCGTTTCTCGGGGTGACAAAATTGACGAAGTCATTTTCTTTACGAAGTCAGGATTAATCAAAATCAAGAAGTTGCGTAGTAATGATCAATGTGCATTATACTTTATACCTACTACGGTGTTATGAATTTGAGCTATAGGTCACTCTTTGGATGTCATGTAGGAGGAACTCCAGTGATAACAATGTTGGAGCAAACTTCAGAAAACTCTGTCTAAATAATTTTCAAATATAAAGGTTGAACAATAATCTTTCGTTGCATAAAACGCTTGCGGCCTACCTCAGTGGCAATATTTTAATGCTATATTAGGAGAAAATCATCAAAAACACGATTATTGTGGCTATGGCTGAACATAGTTTTTAGTATATCATCTAAAATATGTTGTTATTTATTCTCCACAAATAATTTTCGATAAAAATTTGCCTTCATATGCTGTTTTTTATATTGAAACAAAGACTGATTTAAGACTGGAATCGCAGGTTATGAAAGTCTTTGTTTACATTTTTACAACACTTCTCTTTAACTTCACTTCTTGTTGTCTGTCTGTCTGTCTGTCTGTCTGTGTGTCTGCTACAAATCTTAACATCGAAATTTAACAAACTTCTACTTATCCTATCGATCTGAAATTTTGCATACTTGCGTAAAGTTGGAGACAATGCATGAATCAAATGACAAAATAAATAAGTTAAAAAAATTTCAATACTAAAAAAATTGAAAAAATAATTTTGTCAGCTACATATCTTATAATCGATATTTAACCCACTTCTAGCTGTCTATTCCATGGATGGTCTAATCTATCTGAAATTTTGCAGACTTGCGTAAAGTCGGAGACAATTCATGAATAAATTGACAGACTAAATAATTTTGCAATTTTAATTTCTTTTATGTATTAAAATAAATAAAAAATAATATTTTTAATATTCGAAATTAAAATTAGAAATTCATTGTACATGTTTTACATTGGAGGCACAGGATTTTTTAGAAGTGTTAATTTTTAAACGTATATTTTAATGGCTCATATTTTATCAGTTTATTATTCTAAACCAAAAATTGCAAGTAAAATGTCACCAGTATGCCAGAGCTGGGCAGCGCTACTTTGAAATGTAGCGGCGCTACCGCTACCGCTACACCCACTAGATTGTAGCGAGCGCTACCGCTACCGCTACAGTAAAATGTAGCGCCGCTACAATGGCCAAAATTATTGGAAATCTTTAAATATTTATTGTTCTGATATTGGGATTTACTCATAAACATTTAATGAACATTTTCAAAACATATCAATGCAACTTTATTGCAATTAACCAAACCGAAATAGTACGGGTTAGATCCAGTAAATAAAAGTTACAGTTGTTTTTATGTTTTGCCTTCCCTACATGAATGTGTACTTTAATCTACCAATCTAAAAAATTATCCACCTATACATAAAAAATATGTCTTTTATTTGTATATATATGTGGATTATTTTTGAGATTGGTAGATTAAAGTAGACATCCATGTAGGGAAGGTGAAACATAAAAATAACTGTGTAAAAATAACTGTAAGCAAACTGAAACA